ACTCTTCAGCAAGAGAAGTCTGGACCTGTTTATCAACCCTTCCTCCATCAGGGAAAAGAGGAGATTGCAGCTAAATTCTGAAAGTAGAATAAAACCTCAAACGGCATCAAAACATGGCAGATGTACACTTCAGAATGTACCCTGGAATCCACATATGTGGGGGAGAAATTTTACAAGAAGCAGAAAATAGTCCACCACTGATGTAGGGTGGCCAGGTATGTCACAAATTCAAGGGATCCAAGGACTTAAAGGGACCTTTAGGGTCTGCTTCCAGACCCTGAGTTTTGCCTGAGCTTTTCAGTCCCCTTTTTCTTCCTTTCAGTAACAAAGCCTCTCTCCACAATCTCTTTAAGAGGTGCTCATTTTAAGCACATTTAGGCAATGCTGCAATACATGATCCTTGATAGAATCCTAGATTTTTGTTTTTGATTTGTTGGGGTTTTTTTTGGCAGTACTGGGATTTGAACTCATGGCCTCACACTTGCTAGGAAGGCACTCTACCACTTAAGCCAAGTCTCCAGCCCTAGATTTTGTTTTTGAAATTAATAAAGGGCTTTTTTTTGGGGGGGTGATGGTTCTGGTTTATTTGTTTGTTTTACTTTGTTTTTTGAGGTACTGGGCCTTCACTTTGAGACACTCCACCAGCCCTTTTTTGTGATGGTTTTTTTGGAGATAAGGTCTTGCAAACTATTTTTCCAGGCTGGCTTCGAATCACGATCCTCCTGATCTCTGCCTCCTGAGTAGCTAGGATTACAGGTGTGAGCCACTGACACCCAGCTTGTTTGTTTGTTTAACTAACGGCCTTTTGCTTGCTAGGCAGGTGCTCTACCACTTGAGCCAATGTCCCAGCCCTTTTTTGCTTTTAGTTATTTTTTCAAAGAGGATCTCGAATTTTTTGCCTAGGGCCAGCCTTAGACCGCAGTCCTATCTATGGCCTCCGCAGTAGCTGGGACCACAGGTGGGTCACCAAGGCCAGCTTATTGTTTGAGAAAGGGTCTCCCTAACATTTTGTCTGGGTTGGCCTCAAATCACCATCCATCAATCTCTGCCTCTTGATTAGCTGGGATTCTGGGTGTAAGTCACTGTACTGTTCCATAAAGGAATTTTGTGAAAAACAAATATATACTATATATTAGAAAACAATATTGTTTGAATGTAAACTTCCTAAGTGTAGGAACATTATTGTAGTTATAGAGGAGAATGCTCAGTGGTTCTTGGGAGATACACACTGACGGAATATCACGATATGCAAATGGTTAAGAAATGTATATAAGTGTGTATATACATATTAATTTACATATAAGAAGAGAAAGCAAATGGACAAAATATTAACAACTAGTTAATCTAGGTGAAGGGCATACAGGTGTTAATCAAACCATTCTTTCAAGGTTGAAGTTTCTGTTTTTTGTTTTTTCTTTTTTTGGCAGTACTGGGGTTTGAACTCAGAGCCTTGTGCTTGCTAAACAGGTGCTGTACCACTTGTGCCACTCTGCCAGCCTAGGTTTCAATTATTTCAAAATAAAAAATTGTGTATAGTGTGGGGTTCTGGATATAGCTCAGTTCTTATCTGGCATCCATGAGGTCTTGGGTTTGATCCTCAGCACTGAATATATACAAATACATATATATATATATATATATATATATATATATATATATATATATCTTTTTAAGTTGCCAGCACTGAATATATATATATGTATTCTTAAGTTGCCGGGCACCAGTGGTTCAGGCCTGTAATCTTAGCTACTCAGGAGGCAAAGATCAGGAGGATAATGATTTGAGGCCAGCCTAGGCAAATAGTTTGAGAGACCCTATCTTGAAAAAACCCATCACAAAAAAGGGCTGGTAGAGTGGCTCAAGGGGTAGGCCCTGGGTTCAAACTGCAGTATCGCAAAAAAAAAAGTATATATGGATATGTTTTTCTGAGTACCTACTGTGTGCTAGGCAATGTTCTTGGCTCAGAGATCTAGCTTCTTTTCAAGCCACACCTGACAATTGCACAATGAATAACTGGGCTTTTCTTCACCACAGCACAACTGTTCAATTACCTTTTATAGGGAAGTCCCTCAGAAACCTCAATGTCCCTGCCCTCTAGGTGCTCACAGTCTTAAGGGTGGTTGCAGTGTCAGGGGGCGCATAAGGCAGGAGCTTGCCAGCACCGCCCCCAGCAGTCTCCTAGTGTCTGAAAGGTCTGCAGGGCAGGGTGGCCATCATTCATTGTGGGAAAGAAAGCAACCTGGCTGGTAGCTGGTTGTTTCATAGACTTCTGGACACAGGGTAGGATGTGTCTGTATTTACTTTTGCCCAAAGTTGTCATCCATTATTGGCCTGTGGCAGATACTTGGAACTCCCTTTCACCAAAGACTCTTCCTTCCCTTTTCCTTCTCTACTGTGATGGCTAATTTTAGATGTCAACTTGACTGAATTAAGGAATACACAGAAACCTGGTAAAGCCTTATTTAGGCATCTGTGGGCTTGTTTCCAGAGAAGATAAGTCTGAGTGGACTAGGTGAGGGAAGATCTGCCATCCATGTAGACAGGCACCATCCAGTCTGCTCTAGAGAAAACAAGTTAGACAAATCGGTCTCTTTTCTGAAAGCTGCAACTTTGGACATCAGATCTCCAGGTTCTCTGGCCTTTAGACTCTGGAGTTCTTAGGGTTTCAGCCTCAGACTGAGTTATACCATCAGCACTTCTCTGATGCTGAGGCCTTTGAACTTGAACTGAGCTATACACTACTGGCATCCCAGGGCTCTAGCTTGTAGATGGCCTATCATGGGACTTGTAGCCACTATAATGGATTGAGCCAATTCTCCTAATTAATCCCCTCTTGTGTATCTATATCTATATCCTATTGGTTCTATTCTTTCTCTCCTTTGGTTCAGCCCTGCATTTTCCTGCTACTGCCCCTAGAATGGATGGTAGGGGGTTCATTGTTTCTGACTTGTTCCTGGGGGCTTCACACTGAATCAAGCTATTCCTTCTTCAGAAAGTGGTGTTGGCCTACAAACAGACCAACAAGTTGCACTTTTGCTCACAGAGACTACCTCTCAGAGCACAAGGATGATGTATTCTTACACTGAAAGAGTTCCTCATTGCTAGAGGTGAAGATGGTAAGGGACAGAAGAGTACAGAAATCCTTCAGACTGTACTACTACTGTTGGTTCTCTTCAGCCCCCAACAGAGGATTCAACTTTTTTCTCCTCCTAATGAGCTGGGAGACTATGTGTGTAGAGGAGGAAGGAGACATTCTGTGATTTGCACACCAAGAAGCCTCTACCATAAAGATGTCTTGCTGGGCACCAGTGGCTCACTCTTGTAATTCTAGCTATTCAGGAGGCAGAGATCAGAAGGATCTCAGTTCAATTCCAGCCTGGGTAAATAGTTTGTGAGACCCTATCTTCAAAATACCTAACATAAAAAGAACTAACTGGTGGAGTGGCTCAAGCAGTAGAATGCCTGCCTAGCAAGCACAAGGTCCTGAGTTCAAACCCCAGTACCATGAAAAGAAGAAAGAGGAGGAGGAGGGAGAAGAGGGGGTTTCTTGGGGACTCTCTGAGAGCTGTCCCACATCCTGTGCTTCAGGACCTGAGCTCTCTCATGATGGAGAGAAGTGTTGCTTCAGAGGAAGAGCAGAGGGAAGATTTTCTGTGGTAGCAAAATCCTGGCCTGTTGGATCTCAGAAGCCAAAGGCTAGAGATGTGTCACAATATACTAGAACTGTGCTGTCTAATAGAGACTAGCCTCATGTGACTATTCTAACAAGTAGAATTAGTTAACACCAGGCATGGTGGTTCATTTCTGTAATCTCAGTACTTGTGAGGCAGAAGCAGAAGACTCATGAGTTCAAGGACAGCTAGGATAAAGAGGAAGACCCTGTCTCAAAAAACTAAAGGCTGAGGATGTAGCTCAATAGTAAAGTGCTTGCCTAGCATGCACAGGCCCCGAGTTCAATCCCCAGTAACACACACACACACACACACACACACACACACACACACACACACACAAAGTTAATAGAATAAAAACATCAGTTCCTTAGTCTGATTTGTTACATTTCACTTGGGAATAGGTCACTTTGATGTACAATGATTCCCATCAACTATATTTGATGTAGGTGTCATATTTTGTTTTTATTCCTGTGTCTATTTCGTTTCTAAATGTCCAGAGTCTTCATATGCCACCCGGAGCACCAAGAGGCTCTATTCTGATGCAGTACTGAGTTTTTTTGTTTTGTTTTTGGCAGTATGGAGGTTTGAACTCAAGACAAGTCGTCTTGAAAAGCTACTGAAGAGGGCGGAATAAAAAAATCGTAGCAAACTGAGAGCCAGTGGCTCTCTCGCCTGGGGAGGCTGAGATTTGGAGGATTGTGATTCCAGGCCAGCCCGGCAAATAGTTCATGAGACGCTCCCCCTCCCCCCCGCCCCCAGTTATTAAATAACCAGAACAAAACGGACTAGAGGCGTGGCTCAAGCGGTAGAGCGCCTGCTTTGCAAGCGCCAAGAGAGTTCAAACATTGCCCACTGCCTTCTTCCTGTCAGGAACCCCAGGGGCTCACCCAACGGGTGGGGGCTTCTGAAAGGGCACCACCGCCAGAATAGGGCTTTCCTTGGGGTACCTGACTTCGGCTGATCTCGGATCTGCAGCAGCCTCTAGCTTTCCTTCACATAGGGGTCCCCCCCACCCCCTAGCTTCAGGCTTCCCGCTGCTCCTCTTCTGCTTCCCACGTCCCTGAATCCACCAAAAAAAAGAAAAAAGAAAAAAGGAAAAAAGAAAAGAAAAGAAAAAAGGAAAGGAAAGAAAAAAGAAAAGCTTGGCACAACATGAATCGACAACCCTGTATCGGGAGCCCTCACATCCTCTAGGTGGCGGGCACTACAAAGGGAAAGGTGGGGCTTGTGGAAGAACTACAACTCCCACAAGGCACTGGGCGGTGCACTAGGGTTTCCGGCTAGAATTTATTTCCTGTTTTTCGTGGGCTGACGTTCTCTTCCGGTCGTGTGGCTTTAGAAAACGCATCTTGATGCGCACGGTGCGTCCTGGTGCTGAGGTGTCGGAGTTAGAGACTCGTGTCCGCCCGTCAGTCAGCGGCTAGATGTTAGCGTAGGGATGATGAGGAGGGGGTCCACGCGCGCCAGCCTGGGGGCGAGTAACTTTGACAGGAGGGAACGGGGAGAGCGGACCGAGACTACGAGGGGCCCAGACAGGGATTTGGTGGGGCAAAGAATGGGATACTAGGGCATGGACTGGCGGAGCGGGATTCAGGGACATGGGAAGCAGGAGAGGAGCAGCGGGAAGCCTGCAGCTAGGGGGTGGGGGGGACCCCTATGTGAAGGAAAGCTAGAGGCTGCTGCAGATCCGAGATCAGCCGAAGTCAGGTACCCCAAGGAAAGCCCTATTCTGGCGGTGGTGCCCTTTCAGAAGCCCCCACCCGTTGGGTGAGCTCCTGGGGTTCCTGACAGGAAGAAGGCAGTGGACAATGTTGGTGTTTGGACCGGTTTTCCAGGGTTGCGGGTGTAGATAGTAGAAGAGTCTGGAGAATGTATTAGCGCTGGTGGTTTATGCACTTGCTGTGGAAGGGGCTGCGGCTTTGATAGATCAAAAGCGCTTTAATTGGCTTATAAGGGACAGCTGTCAGGAGGATTTTGGTGACATTTACATACTTGGGTTGACTGCTGCATTTGCTTTTTTCAAAGATGAGGCTGCTAGTATTTGTGGTGGTGGCTCTATTTGCTGGCACCCAAGCAGAAGAAGGAGCCAGGCTTTTGGCCTCCAAATCGCTCCTGAACAGATATGCCGTGGAGGGGCGAGACTTGACCTTACAATACAACATCTACAATGTTGGTTCAAGGTAAGAAGGCCCTGGACTTACAGATTGGGCCTTTGTCTGAATTTCCAGTGTTCAGATGAAACAGGGGAACATCTTAGTGGGGAGAGATTTCTTTTGGGGAAACATCCGGCATTAGACAATGAATGAATATATATGCTACTGGGCCTGATTTTTCAAGTAGGGCATTGTTACCTAAATTACAAGAAACAGCTTTCCACTTTTTGCTCTGGAAGAGTTTCAGAGCAGGGAAGAAGCAACAATTGTGAAACAAGAAGGGGAAGATGAAGGCACAGAAAATACACAGTCCTTTGTTACCTCAGGGATTCAAAGTTTCAGCTTCCTTCTTTTGTTAGCCTAGGAGCATTTTGTTGTTGTTTTATTTTATTCCTTTTAATTTTCTTTTCCATTTTCACCTTCTCTTCTCCCTCCTTACCTTACCGTCTCTTCTCCCCCATCCCCAACAGAGAAATTGAGGCAGGAAAGGATTTGGGTTCATTCCTTCTAGATACTTAAGTATTTTGGTGTTTCTGAGCAATAGGAACCAGACCTTTACCTAGATTCTTCAATGCAGCAGACCCATGTTACTATGTGACTGTTTTGAGCTCTGATTTTTTAGGACAAAGGAGGCATATCTGACTAGTGATTGCCTTAATTTTATAACCCTTACTACTTTTGTTTTCTAGTGCTGCATTAGATGTGGAATTATCTGATGATTCCTTCCCTCCAGAAGACTTTGGCATTGTCTCTGGTATGCTCAATGTCAAATGGGATCGGATTGCCCCGTATCCTCTTGGCTGTAGGTGATGAAGGCTGAGGAGTGGGAACAGGGGTACTTCAAATAGGCTGGACTTGTATGGCTATTCTCCTGTTATATTTCTGATTGGATGAGACCAAGAGAGACTGGTGTGAGTTTTGTGAGCATGATTTAGAGTAGACCCAAAGTTTGGGTTATAAGGCTTGAAACATATTGGGAAGATGTAGATATTTACAGAGATGTCTATGGGGCTGGGGTATGGTGGTAGAGCATTTAGCTAGCATGTGCAAGGCTCTGGGTTAGATCCCCAATACCACCCAAAAATAAAGAAAGAAAGAAACAAACCTCATTATAGTCAATGAAAGATTTTCTGTGAGCTTCAGTGACTATAATTTTTTGGAAGTTTACTTTGCAAATCTTAGGTCCCTTAAAATTCAGCATATTATACCATACACTAGACTTTTGAAAAAAGTTTGTATTTTTTCATTCTTGTAGAGTATTGCAGGTATGAACTCACCACATGTGTTGGCAACCATTTTGTGAGTGGAGCATTTAATCTACAAGTTGAAGGTTGTTACTGCCTTAGCATCATCATATTTTTCTCTTCCTTAACTCTTGGGTCAGTGCAAGCAATGTTTCCCACACTGTGGTCCTGCGCCCTCTCAAGGCTGGTTATTTCAACTTCACTTCAGCAACAATTACTTACCTGGCCCAGGAGGATGGGCCTGTTGTGGTAAGTTCCCCAAATCCTGAGCTGGATGGGGCTCTGATCTGCCTTCCCTTAAAAACTTGCAAAAAATGTCCACAGTAGCCACAAAACTGTAAGGGAGATACGTTGACCAGAAACATGGTATTTCTCTAAGAAAGGATGACTCAAATTGTAAAGTTCCAGAATAGAGCAGTTGAAATTGAATGGGAGGTAGCATTTCCTCCGATTGTATCATTTGCTGCCTACTTTATAGCTGTCCTTGCTTTTCTAATCATCTTCTAAAACATTGTCAGTGAACTCCCAGGCTCCACTATTACTTTTTTCCCCTTGTTTAGAATGTCCTGCCTATCACATTGAGGCTGAGCTTTTCTGTCTATCATTGCACATCCTCCCATAGTCTGACTGTTTTTCTCCAGCTTTTTTTCCCACTCCACATAGACTGTTGGTCCTAATTAGGCCAAGCTTCTTCCTGTACACACGTGTGCACACCTGTGCTTATTTTTTTCTCTTTGCCTGTTTGAACTATGTTCTCTCCTCCACTTCATTATCTAAAGGCTTCTTAAGACGCAGCTTAGAGCTGTATCTCCTTCCTATACATATTGCTCTTTTCCTATTCATTCTTTCAGTAAACATTCACTGAGTACACCTGAACTTCTAGAACACTTATGGTCTATACTACTTGAACATTTAATTATTTACTGTTTTCAGTATGTCTTTAGTAGTTCTCCCTTATAGGTCTTCCCTGCTTCCACCCTCACCTCCCAATTTAATTATAAACTCCTTGAGGCCAAGGACATTGTGTTAGATTCTGTTCTCCATATATAATAAAAACTCACTAGTAAACAATTTTTTGATTGATTGATCTAAATACAATAGACATTTATTGAGCCTTTGCACTGTGCTAGACTCTGGGAAATACCAAGAAGATTAAGACCCTGTCCTGGCCCCCACAAAGCTTAGGTTATAGATTCATAAATTTATGAAGCTAAAATGTGTGGTCCTCTGACAGGACTATACAAACAGGCTATTGGCTACTTAGTGAGGACACAGTAGGAAAGGGACATGACAGAGCCATAGAACTATAAGAAATCTGAAAATCTCTAACACTCAATCACTGCCTTTTTTTTTTTCCCTTCATAAACCACATGGAATTGTGTTCTCATTATCCTATGTTTTCACCTCTTGTTGTTTCTGCTTTCAAAACCAACCTCAGGACCCTGGTTGTACCTGGTACTTTATGAATTAATAGATACAAAATTAAAGGCTCAGCTGCCACTTTAAAGCAAAGTTGTTTGCAGTGTGCTCCAATATCTTGGCCTCCTCTTGAAAACAAAGGAATGTGGGCTAGACACAGCCCTACTCTAGTAATGTACATTTGGGTAGGGCTTTAAACTTTTCAGAACCTTTTTCATTATTTCATTTGAGCTTCATGTCAGCCTTGTGAATACAGTATTTTCACTTGAGGTGTAAGTAAATGATTGCCAAGAGCAAATCATCCCATTACATACCCCCCTAGTCCACAGAGGGGCCAGTGGTAGTGAGCAGTTTCAGTCTTTCTAGAGTCGGGCTGTGACAGAGGGTTGAGTTTTAATTGTAGTTCCATAGCTGGCTTGCCCTATCTCATAAGCTCACCATGTGTTTCTCAGGCCTCCTGGCTCCTCATGTACTCTTCTTTCCAACATACTAAGAGAATCATCCAACTCTCTGTAGTTCAAAAGATTTTTTGTTTTGTTTTGTTTTGTAATTATTTTGCAGTGCTGGGAATTGAACCCAGGGCCTCACACCTGCTAGGCAAAAACTTTACCACTGAGCTGCCCTTCCTTATCTCTTTGAAGCATTCTTAAGCACTTTGGGAACTAAGAGTCTAATGTTTAGAACTAGGTTGGTTGGAGCTGCCTTTTCTCAGATGAGGTGACTTGGAGGCTTGCTTTAATATCCTTCTTTTCTTTTCAGATTGGCTCTACCAGTGCACCTGGACAGGGAGGAATCCTGGCTCAGCGGGAGTTTGATAGGAGATTCTCCCCCCATTTTGTAAGCTTTCTAGTGTTCTCTCTAATCATTCCCCTGGTATAAGAATATCCTTTTGGTTCTGAGATCTCTTGGTCTCCTTAGAAGATTTGTTGGTTGGTTTTTGCCCTGTTTTTTGTTGTCAGATATAGACAGCCAGATATAACCAGGCCCAGAGATTTTTGTTGAAATTGTGATTGCTAGAACTATAAAACTGGTCTTTTTTTCTACTTACCCTTGAATAGAGCCCCATCTTAGAATCCTGTGTCTATTTTAAGAATTAAAGGAGTATCTGGTTAGATTCAAAGGATCATAAAGCATTGAACAAGTCAAGCAGGAGCTTTGTTGTGGTTTAGTCTAGGAGAGACTGTTTTACAGATTTGACTAAAGTACTGAATGAGAAATTCATTTATTCATTTATTCAGTGAGTAATTATGATGTTCCTAATTATGTGCTTATTCTGTGCTTTGGGAAAATAATGGCCAATAGCATATAGTCTCTTCCATTAAAAGATTGCATGGGCTTATGGAGGACTCAACAAGTAAATGGAGGAAAAGTACAAGTTTTATGCAGGTTGCTGGAGTAGCACACAACAGGAACATCTAATCCATCTTCAAGAGCTAGAGCGCTTAACCAGTCAAAGAGGAGGCAAAGAAGGGCAGGCATTCTGGGAAGAGTTGTGCAGCTCAGACGTGAGAAAAAGCATGATGTGATCTAGGAATGACAAGTAGTTTATTGAAGCTGGAGAGCAGAAGTAAGGTAGAGGAATGGAGGAAAGGGACTAGGGCTAAGGTATAAACAGGGATACGTCACAGAAGGCTTGACTATTAAGGACAAGACCTGGTGGGGCATCTTCATTATCAAATACTACCTAGATGCCTGTCTGCTCTGGGTCAGGAGAGGCCTTTGGCTTTGTGGGTTGGAAGATAGATTGGGGCTGAGGATGTAGCTTCGTGTTAGAATACTTACCTAGCATATATAGGGCCTTGGATTGGATCTCCAGCACTGCAAAGAAGCAAAAAACTTCTCTGGCACATAGCTGATACTTTGGCTGGATGTAGTGGTGCATGACTGTAATCTTAGCACTCGGGAGGCAGGAACAGAGGATCTCTAGTCCAAGGTCAGCCTGGGCTGTATAGTGAAACTTTGTCAAAAAAAGAAAAAAAAAAGTTGGGTGCCAGTAGCTCATGCCTATAATCCTAGCTACTGAGGGGGCTCTTAGTTTGAAGCCAGCCTGGACAAATAATTCATGAGACCTAACACAAAACAGGACTGGTGGAGTGGCTCAAGCTGTAGAGTACCTGCCTAGCAAGCATGAAGTCCTGAGTTCAAACACCAGTACCTCCCCCACCCAAAAAAAAAAAAAAATTGGTGCATGAGAGAGAGAAAGGGAGTATATGTGGGGCTAGGGTAGAGGTAGAGGTAGAGATAGAGTGTTAAAGATAGGGATAGAGGGGTAAAGGCAGAGTTCCTGCTTTCATTGAATGCTAGGCATCGAACCCAGGGCCTTGTGCATGCTAGGTAAGTGCTTTACCATGGAGTTACATCTTCTATCTACTTTTCAAGCTGTGAAGACTAAGGCCTCTTCTGATCCAGGCCAAACTGGCTTCCAGGTAGTGTTTGAGAATGGAGATATTACTTGAGGTAGAGGGATAGAGAGTTAGAGGTAGATTGGTCTTTAGAGAGCCATTTGGGTGATCAGAAAGAAACTTTTTATTGGACCTATTCCTTCCCTGTCTTCTCCTGTGCCCTCATCCAGACTTCTAAGAAGCTCTTGGTTTTCCCCCACAGCTGGATTGGGCAGCCTTCGGAGTTATGACCTTGCCCTCCATCGGCATCCCCCTGCTCTTGTGGTATTCCAGCAAAAGGAAATACGACACTCCCAAAACCAAGAAGAACTGAGTGGGGCTTCCATGGCCCTCCTCTCCCAAGAAACCAGGTGCTTTCCAGACTCCAAAGGGTATCTCAAATGTGATCTCTTTACTCTTAGTCCATGGCCATCTTGTCCTGGATCCTGCCCTGCTTTCAACCAGAGTGAAGGACCAGGTCTGGGAGTCTATGAGAGAGCCTCCTTGGTTCCACTGTGAAGCCATACAAACAGGAATGCCTTTGGCCACAGCCTTGGGCCTAGAAGGTCCTGTTAGGGCCCCACCGAGGTGCTGTTGCTGGCAATACAAACTCTCAGGGGTCCTGGAGGAGCCCTTCCGAGACTGCCCGACACCACCTCTGTTCCTTGCCCTTTCCTCTAAGAGAGGGTGAAAGATGAAAGCTGTGGGACTTTTGGAGGCTACCTAGTCTCTGTTCTGGGTTAGGGAAGTGCTTACCAAATGGGATTTTCTAATAAAAATAAATGCCACACTGACTTGTCTGTTTTCCCATCAACCAGGTGAGCAAAGGTGGTTGGTTGCTAGAGCTCAGGCCCTGAGCACCCTGGCTCCTAGGCAAATGAGCCAAGTTCTGGTGTCCTTGCCCTAGCATTGTTGGTTTGTTCCCATGGAGATACTTGGATACTTTGAGTCCCTTGGTGCTATCCCTTCTTTCCCTCTGAATGTTCACAAGTCATCACATATTTCCCTAAACCTTCCTTGCCTGTCAGCTCTCTCCACAACTGGAGACAGTCTGCATTCAGTTATTTTATTTATTTTTAAAATATTCATTATTTATTTATTGCAGTATGGGATTTGAATTCAGGGCTTACACCAGCCCCTTTTTTTGTAACAGGGTTTTTTGAGATAAGGTCTCGAGAACTGTTTGCCTGAGCTGGCTTCAAACTGAGATCCTCCTGATCTCTGTCTGCCTCCTGAGTAGCTAGGATTACAGGTGTGAACCACTGGTGCCTGGCTATAATTTTATTTTTAAGACAAAGTCTCCCTCCGTAGCCCAGGCTAGCCTTGAACTTGCAGTCTTCCTGCCTCAGCCTCCGAAGTGCTGGGATTATAGGCATGCACCACCACACCCAGTTGAATTTATTTTCAAGGCCTCTATACTTTGAGTTGGGCCAAAAAGTTCTGGACCCCTTAACTTGGGCCCTAATTGTAGCCTATGGAAAGATAGTGGCTCTGGCTGCAACAGCAATGGGGAGAAGCCACTGTAAGCTGACTCTGTCCAACCCAGGAATGCCGTGGTCCGTGGTCCGGGAACAGCCTCCCAAGCAGGAGGGAAACCCAACAAACACCAGCTTTGTTCCTTCTACCAAGTTTCCCTGGCTCCCCTGCCCAACCAGTTTAACCTTTCCTTTGCCCAGCAGTGGGAGCTTCTGGGCTTCAGGAAGATGAAAAGGACATGGAGACAACGGGAGGCTCTAAATGGAGTAGCCCTCCACCAACTCACATCCCTCTTTCAGGGGCTGCGGCTTGGATACTCCAGGACTGGCCAGGTCAGAGGACAAGAATGATATATTTGCTTTTGTTCATTGTGTCCTGGTGGGATTCTGGAAATGCTCAGGAAAATAGGGCAGTGGGTGAGGGACTTGGGTTGAGAACAGGTGTGGGGAAGGAAAAGGAAGCTAGTTTGGTATGTATAATCTTGCTCTCCAGGACTGACATGTTCATTATTTGAGGAGGGAACATGCTATTTTCCATCTGTGTAGTCTTTACTGGAAATACAGAGTTAACCTATAGGAGGAGGGCTCTGTTTTAGAGGACAAGATGAAGTTCATAATTCCAGAAGGTAATATAAGCCAGTTTCTTCCTTGGTCTGCACTCTGAGCTGTCTCCTTTCCCCAAAGCTGCGGAGTCCTTTCTTTACCTTTCCTTGTAGTAATCGGGCACTTTGTGTCTTGGCATTTATATGAGGAAGGAGACCAGGAGGGGAACCCAAGAGCTCACAGATGACAAGAGAAGCATTGTGAAGGCAGTGCGTGTCATGGGTACCTTGAAAAGAGTCCAAAACCAGATACTTCATCTCTTGAGATCAGCTTCCTTGGAGCTAGGATGGAATTTGAACCTCCCTTAAGTAGTGGTGTTGGAGAATATAAGAACTTCTAAAATCTATAGACAGACTTAGCTGGAATAGTTGGCTTCAGGACTGAGCCCTCTTAACTTGAGGTAATCTGATAGGAGGATGAGTGGCAGACAACACTCGTCTATTAGAAAACTATCACTATTAGAAAACCACCCTAGGGAGGTGTGAACCCTGATCTCAATTGTGTGCAGATCTGTGAGAGGAGAGGGAAATTAAACACTGATTTCATGTCTGCTTTGGAGATTGGGTACCCTCCCTAAAAGGCAATACAGCTAGTAGCCCCACTGCCAGCATGTGCCAGACCCCCTCCACCCTTTACAGACCAGCCCACATCCTTCCTATGTCATCCAAACTTTCAGCTGGCATCTGCTTGCCCACACACCCAGCCCTGGCAGCAGGAGGAACCAGGTGCCTTGATTTTCACTTCTTAAGGCTTTTAGCCTCTGCCTGAAGGAAATAAATGGGAACCAGGTGTGAGTAGTAGAGCAATACAGGGGAAGAAGGGGAAGTTGTCAAGAGCTAATGCCTTGAGACAGCAGGTCTGTGGAGGAGGTGGCATTGATCATAGAGGCAGTTGTACCAGGTCTCAGCCGGAGATGGCCACTCATGGTTGTGCAACCTTAGATAATCACTCCCCATCTTGGAGCCTGCTTACTCATTGGGACAGCCACACAATTGTTTATGAGAGATTTTCTGAAGACCCTTACTGGTAAGATGGCACAAGCATTTCCTGTGTTCTCTTGAAGTAAGAAACAATCACTATGTCACTTTCTCATGTGGTTTGGGGCCCAGCCAGGTAGGGAAGGGCACATAGTTCTACATCTGGTAAGCTGCCTTCTTCCTCTTGCTCAGAGCAAGAATTGACCAGGATCACCTAATTTAATCTCATTTTATAGACCAGGGAAAATTAAGTGGTTTATCTAAAGTTGCCAGCAAGTGGCAGCTAGCATATTTACTGAATATATGGACCCAGCACTTAGCCTCCACTATTTGCACATTTCTCATTTATTATTGTCTACATTTTATTTTTGGTGGGACTGGACTTTGAATTCAGGGCCTTCTGCTTGCTAGGCAGGCACTCTACCACTTGAGCCACGCTCCAAGCACAACCATCCACATTTTAAAGATGAGAGAATAAAGTAAATAGATAACTCTTCCAAGACCCCATCCATTGCTAGTGAGTTGGCAGAGCCAGCCACCAAAAAAGGAGGGCTGCCCATTACCTTAGGAAGTCCAATGTCTACCCAAGCTGTCTTTAGCCCTGGGGGAAGAAGGCAGAGTGAGTCAGGCCCCTCTCTAATCCTTCCGCCTGCCCCAGTTGTTATCAGGGAAAGGGGTGGAGGTCAAATATCCTGCCTCCTTGTATCCACAACAAGCCATACCATGAGTCGTGTGTGCTGAGCTGCTTGGCCGCCCTGTTCCTGTTGGCTGAAGCCGTAGCCCTCCGCAGACTTAGTTGCCCTGTAACGGCCCCTCCCTATACTATCTCACACACAAAAAAATACAATCTTTCCTCCTCCACTACTGTAACCTTAAAGGGACCAGGAAGCAATTTCAAAGTCAAATTTGAGAGTGCAAAGGACCCTGCTGACCTGGAAAAAGGGCCTTGCTGTTAAATAGGTTTCAAGCTGTGGCTTTTTCCCTGAGATGTCCTCTTTCTCCCTTTCCTAGCTTCTCCCTATCCCTGTAGAAGCCAGAGTGAAAGTTCCCTGGATGTCAGGTTCCTATATCCTCTCTCCTGAGGTGACCCCAGCTTGCCTTCCTGCACTTGTTTCCATGGGAGCCTGACTCCTGAGGCAGCCCTTTTATTAGAGAATGCTGAGGACAGGGCAGTGGCACTGAAGGGGTTAAAGGGTTGGGCACAGCACTGTCTAGAGTGTTTGAAGTAGGGCGGGGAAGGGAAGGACTTGAGCAGTTGAAGAGGCATCTGGTCTGGACTGGAAATGAGTCCCCCCCTGTCTCCTATGCAAACTTCTGGACCATGAGCAGTTCCCTTAGAAGGACCAAGAGAGAGTCCCCCCCACCAAGGTGCTGGACTGGATCCTTAAAGGGGCAACCTAAAGCAGGAGTTTCTCCCTTATTGAAGTCACCAACTGAGGGCAGAAACAGGTCTCCCATCTTTGGGCTATCTCCCAGATCTGGTAAGTTTCCTTCTTCCCTTTGTTGGATCCTTACCCAATGATGGACATTCCCCCAGAAGCAGAGATGCCCAGGAATCCCTTGGCACCCCAGAAAGTGGCTGAATGATGCATAGTTCTCCCACCAACCTCCTGCATTCAATTCCCACTTTTCATTGGGGGGCTGTGTGTGTGTGTGTGTGCATGAATGCATGTGTGTATGTGTGCAAATGTGCAAATGGGAATTACTTTAATGGCCAATGGTTAATTACCATAATTTGTATGGCAAATGATGCTAAGTTATTCTTTTTTAGTCCTTATAATCCTGGACTAATCCCTATATTAAATATAGGTTTAGAGAAGTTAAATAACTAAGCTATATCAATTAAGAGGTTAAATTGTAGGACTAGGGTTCAGACTCAAGTTCATCTAACACCAAAGCTCATCATGTTGTCTTTTGGTATCTTTCTTACTCACAAAGTATTAACACCAAGAATGGCTCTGAATCTTAAAACCTTGAGATTCCAATTTATCCAGGTACCTCTTGTGCCTAACATTTCTTTTATCCCAAAAAGTTAATTATGAGATTTAAAGGGCCATCAGTTCATACCTGAGAGCCAGGGTCTTCCAGATTCTAGATTATACTATCCATCCTATTAGAGGTTTCCTCCTTTACCTTTAGCTATTTCCTGGGATCTGATGGGTTAATTCCCTGGGTCACAGTGGCCAAAGTCTTCTCAGGTGTGTCTGTCCTTCTGAACCTCAGACCCTCTCTTGCCCCACCCTTCTGGCACAACACCCAGAGTGCATGCCAAGAAACTGGCAGGAGGTAGAAGAGGGCTGGTTGGTCTTGCCGCTTTTCTGCCCTATCCCCCATACATCATGGGGCAGTGTAGGACTCAAGGCCCTGGTAGAGCAAGCACACAATTACAGGCCCAAAAGAAAGGAGAAAGGCAAGGTCCTTAAGTTCATTTTGTAAATTAACAAAAAGCAAAAAACCAAAACAAAACAAAAACTTTCCTAGTTACCTTTGGAAACCCAAAACAGTAAAATTCCTGACTGAACCTTGTATATCACAGATACTCAAGTGGGTCAAGTGGGTGTTTGAGATGCCTGTTTGCTGATTTAGTAGAGGGAGTGTGGTTAGATTAGGTACTGGGGATGCTTGACTATCTGGCTGGCTTTGAACTTCCAGAAGTTACTTTTTATGGCAGCACTGGGGTTTGAACTCAGGACCTCACATGCTAGACAGGTGCTCTTACTGCTTGAGTCACTCTGCCAG